ATAAAAAAAAATCATCCGAAATTAAGCACCCCCTATAACAAAAAAGGGGTGCTTAATTTCGGAACTATACGGTAAGTGATCCTTTAATCAAGCGACTAAATCCACAAAGTCCTCTCCATAGTATTGGCGAGGAGCAGTTTCGTAACTTTTTAAAGCTCAAGCGAATTTCTTTTAATGGAGGTCTCCCACGGAGCATGATTGTTTATAATTTTATATTTTAAAAAGAGATAACGATAAAGTTGTATTTTGACAAATTAGTTAAATAAATATCTCATTGTTACGTATTATGATTACGTCAGAATGTATTAAATCATTTAAAAAACAATTTTAAATCATTAACATTTCATTTTAAACCATTTTCCATCCCTAAGTTTGCCATAAGAACTTTTGTTATGAAACTTTCTGTATATAATTAAGGTTGTATTGGAATTAAATAGTCTTGAATTCTATCATGATTTACCTGTAACTATAAAAAATTTTGTTACAAAACTTGCTGTCGTTCTACACAGTATGCAGTTATGTTTTAGCCAGTTTGTATTGGATTACGGTCGTGAATTCTATAATAAAATTTGCTACAGACCTATACCAATTATAGTGACACGTCGTATATGTTAAGTTTGTTAAGTTTGTATGGAATTACAGCTGTGATTTCTGTCATGATTTGCTGTAAAACTTGTCCTCGTGACAATATGTACTTAAGGTTGAGTTAGTTAATATTGCTACCATGATTACTACAAATACAAAACTTACTGTCGTGACACATAGTACGTGGTTAAGGTTGAGTCAATTTGTGTTTAAATTCTATCATGATTTACTAAAAAAAATTTTCTCCAAGACTTGCATCCTATTGCAGTAGCACATATGTTACGAAACTAAGGTTATGTTATTTTATAATGGAATTAACAGTCGTGTCTTCTATCATGATTCATTGTATAAAATTTTGTTACAAACCTTACATACTATTGTATGACACGCGGTATGCCATCAAGACGTTGTTAGTTTGAATTAGTATTGAGCAACGACACTCAAACAAAAGGAAGGGTTATATAATATGAGCGAAACAAGAAATGTAACGGGGGACAGATGCATTTTTTGTAAATATATGTTGTGCCTCAGATTAATGCTTGCCAACTTTTTGGCCCGCATTAACTGATCGACATTGATTGACCTAAATTAAGCCCAAATCCTTCCCAGATTTTACCCTGGCCCTATCCTACTTAGGATCTCAGGCAAGCGTTACACGATTGACGCGCATCTAGTACGTACCACCTTCACAGCCCGTATCTGTTATATAAAACAGCCAATTACGTATTATTCCTAATTATTTTTTTCAAATTCTTTGAAAACCAAATTTTTTTTAAATTTTTTGCTATACAATTAACGTTAATATAAATTAAAATTAATAAATAATTGCAATTAACTGCAATTAAATCAATTTTCCATAACCTGATCTTTTAAACAGCGAAAAGTCAAAAAAAAAGTGTTCAATCTTTATTTCTTAAAAAAGATGCCAGAAATTCCTGTTGCCGCTGTCGTAATTGAACTGCTGTCGTGATTGAATTCGTTGATAAGCTAGAGGAAGAATCTACAAGCTCTTAGAAAGTGAGTCTTTCTCATTGAGTATTGTTAGTCATAATGTATCTGAAGTTACGCTGCCACATCGGTGTAAAGAAGTCTGATAGAGAATTGAAAGCTCTTCGTGGCTGCAATTTTATAATAGCAAACGTTCTTCTCTATCAGTTATCGATGTTCCTGCTAGATGATCGGGGTTTTTCTGCGTTAGAGAAACTGTTGCTGGGAAGTTGGTGAATAGGATACATTCTGACATTGAAAGCACGAACCATTGACTATTCCGGCCGTGCTTGTTTGTTAGTTAATGATAATGATAATGATGCAATATTCACCTTTTTTTTTTTTTTTTTTTTTTTTTTTTTAGCGAAAGAAACGGCTCACGGTATTGATTCAATGCAAGAATTATGATAAAAATGAATTGATAGGTAATTAGAATAATCATTGTTTATGGTGGAAAATATACAGTATAAGCAGTATAAGAAAATATTACTTTATTGATAGGGCGCCCAATTATTGACGCACATAACGGCGTTGTTAGTAGATACGCCAAGGAAAATAATTTGAAAGATGGGAATGTGGTAGCTCCTTCTATGGAGAAATTCTTGGCTAAAGTGATTCGGATGGATGAAGAGATTGGGTCTACATATACTGGTCAGATAAGAAGCAACTTCCCGTTTATATTTTTAATTCGGTTCTCAAAAGACGAAATAAAGAAAACTTTATATCCTTATTTACTCATTATTTCATTCTATTAATTATTTAAATACTTCTTTCTTATTATCTATAAGTTTTTTTTTTGTTTATTATTTGTTCCCTTAAGAGGCAAGTGTACATTAATATTACGAACATGTTCATTTCAATGTTTTTTTTAAAATGACAAATAGATGACAATAATACTAATACATATTTGTACGTTTACTTTACCCACTCCCCCTACAGCATAGCGGGCTTTCATCGTGATTGGCTAATTTTTGTAGATCATCCCGTGATATTGTGGAAATTTTATTGGTTAATCAAAATTTCAAAACTTAAAATTAAATCGTTGAATAAAATGAATTTGAGAAAGCTAATGATATAAAAATAATTATACTTGTGGCAAATTTGACATTAGCAGAAGCCTTTATAACGAAATTTCGATAACTTTCAACCTAAAATTATACCCTTTCACAAATAAAATTTCAACAACTCAGATTTTATTAATGAACCCCAATGTACTGTACGTACAGTACATACTATAAATAAAAAAGAAAAAGAAAATAAAAATTAAATAGAATAAAACAAGAAATGAGATTTAACCTATTCTAGAATACTATATAAT